TGGGTTTACCTAAACCACTCTTGATTTAATACTAACTCAGAAATTGGTGTGTTATAGTCATAGATCGCTAATTAATTTCTAGGTCGCCCTATAAGCTCAAATAATTATTCTACATGTATTATTGGATTAATTTTGTTAAGTTTTTGATCCTTCACTTAAACCCGCCCCTATCCATCCTGACCTCACCCCATATAAAATTTGACCTGACCTAAACCTGGACATATTTTTTTTTGAAAAATTAATCCAATTGAATTTGATCGAATTGAAATCCATCAGTTTGAGGTTAAATTGTTATCCCTACATTTCCTATTAAAAATATATGATACTTTAAAAATATGTCAAGCAACATATAACATCTATTAAACTAATAAAATTAACTTTTTATTTTATTTTATTATGCTTTTTTAAAAAATAAATTTTAATATCTAACTATATCTCGTGACTTTTTTATTATTTTTTATTAAATGATTTTTTTATTTTATAAACGTTTAGTAATTTTTAAAGTTTATATGTTTTAAATATTATATACATTTATTATTTTTGAATTTTAAAAAAAATATCCAATCACAATGATAAATATTCACATACAAATAAAAAAAATTTAACACCAGAATTTGATTGTAAGGCCAAGCTCAAATCCTACCACCGTCACTTTTGGTGGACAATATGTAAATTCCTATGTAAATCTCAATTGAATCTTAAGTATGTCATGGACTTGGACTGGGGAGCCACTCCTGATCTAAACTTTAATATACAAAAAAAACCATCATAAATCATTTTGATTTAATATTTTTAAAATATATAAAAATTAAATTATTTTTATTTTAAGAAAAGATCGATTTACTGAATTTATAATTTGAAAAATTAAATATAACATTTTAGTAAAATTAATTATTAATTTAATATTTTTTGAATTAAATTATTTACTTTTCTAAATGTTTATTAGATAAAAATTTGATTTAATAAGATTATTTGTAGACTTTGACTAGAAATAGATGCATTGATTAATATTTAGTGTTTGTTTATTTTTTTAGAAATTTAGGTGAATTTAAAATAATATATATGTAAATACTTTTAATTAATTAACAATAAATATTTATATCTCTATGATATTTAAATCTAAATTTTTAAAGAAAATAATAAAGTACTTAACGTGTATACCCCAATTAAATTATTGCAGTGCTGAGGCAGAGGAGACTTCTTGGAAGGCTGACGGCCACGAAAGTAATGCATTTATACAATAGTGCCCCTATGTTACACCGGATGACTGTGCTCGGCCAACGACGGACAGCCACGTCATGAGTTTGTGCTCCATTTTCCTTGTATATAAAATTGAGGATGATTAACATTTGTTAACTGTGGGCGGGATAACCCTGGTTAGTTTACGGGTTGATAGACGGCACCTCACATATAGATACCCTCAAAGCTCCGCTGTTGTCTCATGTGGATGTAGTGAACAAGCAAATCCTCAAACTGACCCACTGCCTTCTTCCGCCGCTCGTATCAAGGTTAGGTGTCCTCTGTTTCTTCATTCCATTTGATCGTTAGTCTTGCTTTAAATTGTGATCACAGATGCGCACATGTTTGATTCATAAAAATATCGTACAAAAATACGTGTATAAAAATATTTTAGTGTTTAAATAATTATTCGTTAAAAATAAATGTCTAACATGTTTTTAGTTATATTTTTTTAGGTGATTATCGTTATATTTTTTTTATTTTATAAACAAAAATATTATATTTAAAAAATATTAAAAAACTTAATTTATTTATAAATTTTCCAAAGTTTTCAAAAGTTACAAAATAATCTCGGTTGGGTTTTCGCCGAAGATTTAAAGCTTTCTTCACGGCAAACGGCGACGTTATTCGAAGAGATGACAGTTGGGTTTTTCTCAGCGTGAGATAGCGCTCTCACTGATGGAAGCGGTGACAATCATGGCTGGTCGGAGAAGGGTTTGACGGTGAGGGGAAACGAATGATTTTTTATTGTTTTGTGACGATCGCTAAATTTGGATGATTGCTGATCCGGGTTGAGATCGTAAGATGTCGACGAATCTGCTGGTGGTGGCGATGTGCACTACCAGTTATTGGTGGCGGTGATGTCGGGGAAGTGAGAGGAGGAGGGTGGAGTATTTTTATTAAAAAAGTTTTTTAAAATATATTTATTTTTAATAAAAAAAATATTTTTTTTATTTTTTAAATAAAATTTCAAAATTATCAGAATGTAATTTTTTATTAAAAAAAGTTTGTTTTAAAATATTTATTTTTTAATAATTTTTTTAAAAAAAAAATTAAATAAATTATTAAATTATCAAAATGTGATCATGTCATTTAGTGGTATTTTTAACGGTAAATACTTAAAATAACGTTTGAAAAAGTAAACGTCTATTTTAACAAAAAAAAAATTTTATACTATAGTTTGAATATTTATTTTTACAATAAGCCTAACCATAAAGAACAACCAGTCATGCCAAACCACCATGCAGGGCTCATTTGGATGTCTTACAACGTTTTTATGATTCAAGTAAGATGCAATGCATCCAAACGAAGCATGGTATTCTTTTTATAATATTTTAAGAATTAACCACTCGCTTGAAAAAGATATTGTATATATAAATCATCTTAAAACACCAATTTATATCAAAAGTATCATACCAACTAAATACTAATTAAATCTCATAGTCGACCACACATCATTTAAAAGTAATTTACATTAGATATAAATAAAGTGTTATTTAGATGTAAATTAAAACTATTTATTTATTTAGATGGGATGCAGATACGAAGTGTACTGTAATTAATAATAGTCTTATATGGGGGGAAGAACCTTTTGTAGGACGAGCTATAAGTAAATGTACATATGATCTACAACAGGTTGTCCCAAAAGTGATGCAATCAAAAAATTAAATAGGCGTATGCCCTAATATTAAACTTTTAAGTAGAACTAGAATCCACCGGACTATTCTAGAAGTAAAGGAGCAAGCCAACTTGGATAAGTTTTTGTCATTCAAACAAGACCCGACATGCTTAACCAGGGTTATTTAATGCCATTTGTAGAGACCAGAGGGGGGGATTAAGGAAACCCAAGAGACGGAAGACGGGCACTCACTCTATTCCCGGTGCACCGTCTTAAAGCTGGTAAATGGATTCTTTCAATTTTCTTCTTCATTCTTTATTATTGATCAAGGTTTTTCACTGGATATATGCAAGTATATTCTGCACGTGTAAAATCAGCTGAAATGTCAGAATCTGTCAAGAACCCACTGTTTGGTTGGTCGGAAATCGAAGGAAAAGAGAGGCGAAAATCACGAGTGGAATATCTCTTTTGGTGTTTTTTCCGTTAGCAGTGTACGTTAATGTCGACCAAAGTCACCGAGTTACAGAACTCGAATCAAAAGCAAACTGATACTGATTTTTCCCTTTTTCTCTCCCTGTTCACTTTCTTGAAAAATCAAGCAGAAAGTAAGTAATCATCAAAGGTTATTAGGGATAGACGAGGGGACTGATGAGCTGATCGAAACCGTCTAAAATTTTTACATTTTAGTATAATTTAAAATTTTTCTTTGTATTTTGTATTAATAATTTATCTTGGCTCCTAAAAGTTTATAAATTGTTTTAACATCAAATTTACTAGTATCCCAGCTGATAGTTTTGTTTATTTGAATTCCTTTTTCGTGTGTCGGATTGAAGGTAGCCATCCAGCAGCTCGAAGTGGAAAAAAAAACCCTTAATGATGATTTTTTTCTTTAAAATCCTCTAGATAATTTTGGTGTTCCATAGCGCCCTTGGAGATAAAAGGATCAATTATTTTGAATAGTTCATTGATCTTGGTCTATTCATGGATATTCTAGTGATGTAATTATTTCTTTATTTGTTGTCTGAAGTCGGATCACCATGGCCACTCGGGCAACTTCCCCACCTGCGAATATTGGTTTCACCTGCACCAATGAGGAGCTCTTTATCGGTCTTGACAAATTGACTAGTGGATCTCCCCTACCAAGTAATGTTATTGATGTCAATCCTTACAGATATGAGCCCCAAAACTTACCAGGTTAGAGCATCTCTTTTTTACTTTTGCCGTAACTTATCATCAATAGATCCCTGAATTTTGCTATGTTCTAATGTATGCATAATTGGACCTTTTCAATATTCGCAAATGTAACCCTTGAACTTGCTTAAGGAATCTAGACAAACTGTTTGTTGGTAGATAATTTGATCTTTTTACCATAAGCAAACTACCTTGTTATTGATGATAAGAGAAATTTGTTACAAGTCGGTCGTGTGAACTAGTGTAATACACCAAATGTTGTTTCACGTAAAATGTTGTACATCAAAAAAGCCATATGATAGGCATGTTTATTTCTTAGTCATAAAGTGAGTGACATAACATCATGCATGATTGCGTTTCAACTACGGTACAAGAGGATTAATCTTCTAGAGTTTCGAGGCTCATCTTAATCACTGCATGCAGGTGATTTTTGGTTCTTGAGTAGCTCAAACGATAACACTGATATTGAACATGGCCTCTGGAAGACAAAAGAGGAGGCCCGTGAAGTCTTCTCAAACTCGGATATTTTTGGTTGGAGAACCACTCTTGAATACTACAATGGTCAAGTCCCTTGTGAGCGTAAAACTAACTGGTGATGCAAGTTTTCAGCATAACTCAGAAGAGACTGTGCGATGAAAATGCAAAAAAGGTACTCTACCAAAACCGGAAGTCCTACAAGCTTACAGTTTAACATGTTTGTTCTATTCAGTTATCAACTCAACCCGCCAGTCATTAGCCGGTTTGGTTGCCTGATATGCAGGAAACCATCTCCCTATGTAGAGTTTTCCTTGCTCCCAGCAATGACATGCAACAGAACTCATCTATTGCTAAAATCAACACCGAAATCATTTATCAGAACCTCCTGTTCTGGATGCTAATTGCAGTACAAGAATTGGTTCGTCGAGGAACCATCAGGTATCTCAGTATCTGCATGTTTACTTTGGTCAGTTGAGCTATTTGATTTCATTTTCGTTCTGAGATAATTTAGGACAATAAATCATACAAATCTTTCAACCTGACGGCTTTGACATCAAGCTCAATAACTCATACAAATCTTTCAACATGATGGCTTTGACATCAAAATATCAACTTGGGCATTTAACATTAGAACTATTGAAGTCACCTAAAATATCAACAAGTTGCCTCTAGGCTATGAAATATCTGCTTTGATTGGGATTTAGAACTATCCTTTTTTTTATAGTTTTTAGCTATACTTCCTACTCTAGTTGGTCACAATGCAAATACTTGTGCTACGGTTAAGATAACTGGTCTGGTTGATTTTAAGAATATAGAAATCAAATGATTTGAGTCCTAGGATGACTTCCAAGATTGATAAGATACCACTAGACAACTGGATCGAAACCAGTGAGCAACTTGTTAACACGAGGAATATTGGGAGAGAATTTGAGGAGGAGGATCAGTTTTTCTTATGCCTGTCTACATCTTTCAATAATTAAATTTTGTTGTTGTTCTGTTTGTCTATTTGAGGTGTAGCTATAATTTGTAGGTGAACAAGCATGATGAGACAGAAGTATTGGGTGTTGCAGAGAGACTTCTGATTCTGGAGCATCAAGGAGAAAACATAGTTGAAATGGATTTTTTCTCGGGAGCTAAAATTGATTTCTTTTCAGGTGGTGACTTTCTGGAATTGAAAGATCTCGAGAACGCTGCATCTTCTTCAAGCTCAGAAAATTCAAGTGCCGTGAGCATTTCATCAGATGAATGTTTTGATTCAATGGCTTTCTTGCAAGACCTTGATCAGGACCAAGTTTTCGAACGTAATGACACGGTTAAAAAGCCGAATGTCTCTGCATCCAACAGACTGGATGAGGGGGTGATAGTTCCAGCCACTTTAGGTATGCTCGCTGCGTTCCATCTTCATTCTGATCTGTATCATATGAGATGTTCATACAATCTACTAGCCTAGCCAGTCATTTTATGTACTATACTGCCTTGTACTGGTTTCTTAGCAGGAACTCTTGTTAGTATTCCGGGCAGCAATTCTGGTAGTGAAGAATTCTTTAAAACTACTGGTTTTATGTCCAATTCATCTTGTGGGAGTAGAAACCTTAACAACAAGGTCACAAAGTGTGCCAAAGGGAATCGAAGGGTTGAAGGCCCGTCGTCGTCGCAGTCATCATCATCTGGTGAATCATTGTCACCCAGCGACAGCTTTATGGCGACAGCAGGTAGAAGGAAGAGAGATGGTTTTGGTAGAATGAAAGAACTTAGAAAGAAATACTGCTGCTTCATGCCATTTTAGATACAGTTATTTGTAAAGATAGTAAATTAGCAATCACATGATCTGGTAGATAAAATTATCTCATCACCTAGCGCATAACAAGCTAGTGAATTACACATTTACACTTCATCTATTTTTGTGCAGATTGACGCTTATTTTGTAGCCTTCTTCGAAGTAGATGAAAATTTTATTCAAGATTTTGCATAAGAATTTGATCAACTATAAATTGACTAAATCCAAAACCATGCAAACAATTGATAAAGTACATTTATATGTACCAAGGATCCAATTATGTCTCCATTGTTTAATTTCCGCCTATTCAAGTTTCTAGAGTCGTATCTTGTGAAATGTTATTATCTTTTGATCGGACTGTTGTTGATCACATTTCACTGTACAACCGAGATATATAGTTTGTCATACAATATAGCGAAAGAGTTTCTACTCATCTGACCTAAACGAGAAATTAATGTCTAAATATATTTGAGTTAAGCATGAACTTTTTTTTATTAGTCTGGACCATAATATATGTTTAAAAGACCTGATCATCAGACAATGATCGGTTAAATATTTTTACAAATACATATAAGGGGTTAAATGTATACCCACGAAAGAATAATATTAAAATTTTTAGACTTGATTTGTAGGATAGTTTTGTTGTACGGTAGTTTTAATAAAAGACTAAGGAAATGATTTATCAGAAATGTTAATATTTTTTAACATTTTCGGTAAAACGCTATCTAAATTATTATTTTTTTTTTACAGAAAATGTTAATTTCGTTAACTAATTTTCGATAGAACACAATATTAACATTTTTGGTAGAAAAAATAATGTTTTAGGTAGCGTTTTACCAGAAATGTTAAACATTTTAGGTAACGTCTAATATTAACATTTTCGGTAGAAAAAAATAATATTTTAGATAATGATTTACCGGAAATATTAAAAAAATATTAATATTTTCGATAACATCTTTTCTTAACCGTATATTATTACTGTTTTACCTCATTTGTAAGCTATTGGATAGTACATGAATACAAAAAAAAAATTACTATACATGAATGGAATAAAAAAGATGGCGGTAGTGGTGTAGTAGTTACGTAGTGAGGAGCCCATAGTGATAGGTGCCGAAGTCAAAAGGATTCTGCTCCCGCCAATTATTCTCAAAATTCCACGCCTACAATCATCACTGTCGGATCCAAACAGCCAACGGCCCTGATTAAGTATTGGTAACCCCCTTCTGATTTTGGCGGGAGCAGGATCATTATTCACCAGAGGCTCAACATATCCAAGTTGTTATTTTTGACTTTTGACTAAAACACAGCATGACTAAATGTTGTGAATATTTAATCTACGTAAGATTTAAATTAAAGTCAAAAGAACAAAAGCCTCAACTTATCTTGATATGCCTTGTCATGTTAGAATGACCTTGAAATGATTCCAGTGTATGTAGTGCAATGTCTCATCTCGAACCCACTACGTCCCCTGTGGCGGGAAAATAAAGTGAACAACTCGTAAGGTTTCTTGTTAAAAGAAAACTTTAATGTATTAGAATTATAAAAGATTAAATTATTTCGGGTTAGTTTGATAGAATTTTTAAAAAGTGATTTAAAATTTTTTTATTTAAAGTATAATTTAAAATTTAACTGTTTAAGATTATTGTTAAAAATGAATTTAAAAAGACAAAATATCTTACATTTTGTTGTAAATTAAAAATATATAAAATTTAAATTAATATTTATACTTATTTGAAGACACTAAATTCCGTTATTTAAACGTTATCATATTATATAATATATATTCATACATACATCATATTTACATATTTATTCTTTTTATCTCAGGCCCAATTGGTGCTCAAACACATATGTGGTCCAACACGCTGGACCCAAATGACCCAAACAAGACTGGTCCAACTAGGGTTTTGGGAACCCTAGCTTCACACACTCCATCAGTGCCGTTTTCCCCCTTTGAAGACCCAGCGCCGCGCAGCAGTCCCAACTCTCGAGTTTCACGGCCGCACGCCTCCTTTCACAGTCATTTCTCGCATGTTCAACAAGCACAACGACGTGAGTTACAAGGATACATCCACAACCAACCAAGCAGTGATTTAGTCCAAATAAAATGCTAGAAAATCGGGACTAAGACTAGTATTCTTAGACTATAAATACATGTAAAGTGAACATGATTAGGGGATGGAAGATTAGGCACGGTGAAATACTCGAAAGATCCAAACTTTTGTACTGATTTTCGAAGCTAAATAAAAAGGTAAAAATGTTACCTCGTTCGTTTCTTCGTTTCGCTTGCATGTTGTTTCTCTTTGGGTTTTGAGCGTGAAGAGAGCCGATGAACATTAGGAACCGAGATCTCCTTCTATAGATCTACGGCTCCTCGAGGCTCGGTTTTAAAAAGTATTTCGATTTTTAAAACGTTGAGACATAAGGCTTTAAAAAAATGTATTTTTTTGGGTTTTTCCGCCGATGAACGACGGTCGTCGCCGTTCTACGGCGGCGGTGAGACGGCGCTCGACGGCCGATTTCTGGGTTCTTGAAGAACCACGGTGGCCTGTTCTTGAAACTCAAGAACAAAACCAGAGAAAAGGGAGAGAAGAAGAGAGTGTTCGGTGAGAGAGATGAAAAATGAAGGTTTAAAAAAATTTTAACATTTATATTAACCAGTTAAACCGCGTGTATACCCGACCCAATCTCCTGATCTGCGTATGTTTACGAAGTAAAGGGTAAACTACCCTTTTGGTCCCCTGCTGTGTTAAAAGGCCCCATTTGCATCCCTAAATTCATTTTAATATTGGCCCGCAATTTCTATTTTATTTGAATTTGGACACCTAACTCTTTCTTCTTATTTAATTCGACCCTTATTTCTATTTGTATATATTTTTATTTGTTACGTAATTATTTTTATTTATTAATATAATGTGTATATATATATATTTTTCATTTAATTTTATATATTTTTACTATTATATTTATTCTCTCTTTTATTGATATTCGTCGTTGTATATATATATTTTACTATTATTATATATATATTATACTCACATTAATTATATCTATCTACCCCCCACCGTCTTTTTTCTTCATTTTCATGCACTGTTGTACTTTGATTAATTAATAGATTAGGTTTGACGAGTTTAACGTTTTTAACTTTATGTTATCATTATTTATTCTTTTTCGTCTTAGCATTTATTTATCATTCTTTCACTATGGTTTTCACCCGTTTCATTTAATATTATATGTATGTATCATCTTTCTGCATTTATTTATTTATTTTGTCTTTACTTTTTCATTCTTTGATTTTCTTATTTTATATTACTTTCTTTATTTCGTTCGTTTTGTATTATTTATTTTTTCATTTTTTCTAACACATTTTTGAATTTAAAGGGTATTTTTTTGATCAATCAGAGGTAAGTAATCTAGATCGCTATTTTTTACCTTTAATTTAAAATTACAATTTTCTTAATTAAAGATGACTGGAAATTACATAGTACCCAAAGGGCAGTTCAAGGGTGCTAACCCTTCCTTGACTGTAACCGGCTCCCGAATCCGACATCACTGGTAAGAAGCGGATCAGGTAAGAAATAAGGTATCGATCAACCCTTTTATTTTTAAAAAAATGATCGGTGGCGACTCCAATCCATTTGCCTAAGTCGAAGCCCAATTCTGGGCCCAACCGAAAGACGGTTGCGACAGCTTGGCGACTCCGCTGGGGACACAGGTAAGTGAGGCTAAGGTAATTTCCAGTTGTCTTTTTAACGAAAAGGGTAAGTTTAAATTTAAGGTAATATTTCGATCCTTATTACTTATTTTTGATTATATTTTTCGAGTAAATAGTTGGACTGACCGTTT